TACGTACGCGCACACGCATCCAAAGTTGATCCGCGGCTTCTTTGCAAACGGAACAAGATTGACTATTTGACGTCGATATTACATATATAACGCACGAGACATGCAACAGAGTACTTGCATCTTGCATTCTTTGTTCAATTCGCAAAATATTATTCTTTTATTGTATCTCTTTTTTTTTAATCCACACCATATGGGGGGAGGGGGGATTCTCTTGACAAAAAAATAAATCCTTTTCTATCTTTCCGGTATGTATATCCTATCTCGATTTAGTAACTCTGGTGCCATCATTACAGTCAAAATTCTTTTTTTTTTCTTTGTTACTCACAGCTTTACAAGGTTACAATTAATTGTTATTCGCTTATTTATAATTATATTTATATGTATATATATGTATATATATGTATATATGTATAGTGGCCTCGTTCGCGCTACAAGTTTTTCTGTTTGCTGAGTATGCACGCTAAACTTTTATATTTTATATGTTAATATAATACGCAATGTACACGTATGTAATAGTATATACACACATACGCTTTCTATCTGTGTATTGTATATATATATATATATATACGTTATATACATGCATACACACGACATTCGTCTTACTTCACCATTTTGTTTTTACACATGGTATCTTCGACAAAGGGAACACGTTTGCCATTATTTTTAAAACGGAACGTCTTTTTAATAAAATAATAAATAATTTTTAATAAAATAACAATAGTTATATAAAAATATTATAATAATGTTTAATAATAATTGTTATCTTTCTGATAATCGTTATTTGATATAGAAAAATTCCTTAAAGCGATATCTTTTCAAATGGCAAAACTAGAATAGAAAGAATAATTTGTCGACTCTCTTAATACATTTGCCTCAATGTGTTATATCCCACATATTTATCAAGTTTTATGTTATTCGAACTTTAAGATTTATTTTTCAAAAAATTGAAAAACGCAGACGTATTCCCTCGATCTTTGTCTCGTTACATTTTTCAATAATATTAATCCCTCATATATGATATACAGTTGACTAAGTATATACGATTACGATAGACACATAGTGTTCATGGATTTTTTAGCGGTAATTTTAATTGCTCGTGAGAACCTCATGAGAAATGATTATTTGAATTATCGAATGGATCCAGACGCGGGGAGAAACTTTCGCGATAAAGTGACGATTTAGGCGATAATATATTAGTAAGTTAGTGTAAAATTTATTGGTCCAGAGAGTTGTGTGTATTTCGAGAGGGCCTTTATCTTCCCTATCATTTAGATTATTGATTTCGCAATTTCTTTGCTTGATCGATTTTCTTTCTTCGAATAAAGAATCAAAACTATTTAAAATATTTTTTGAATCAAGTTTCGATATGTTTTTTTCCGTTTGATATTTTCTTTCGAGTTTTTTTTTAATATTCTTCATTATCAAAGACAGACGAACAATATACAATTTTTATTTTTTTTCTCCCTTTTTTTGATAATCGAGTTCGATTATATAATTATTCTAACGCGGCTGATTCTCTTGGGCCTCTCGATGCAAAAATTCGGTGATCAAAGAACAATAGTGTCGGTCGATGTTTCAAGTGTTATGCTATTTTCATTTTTATATCAATTAGGTTAATAGTTAGGTATGTAATATTCGAAAATGATCTGATAACCGGAATCGTGATGTATCTTCGATCGATTTCGATGAAAGAAATCACTTTTCTCAAGAGAAATCGAAAATATGAATGGCTCTTCGATGTGACGAAGCGCATCAGTGTAAAAATGTTTTTAGAATATATTTTGCATAAAGAAAATTCGAGTCTTATACGT